CACCCATCACCATCACCACAAGCGAGGAAACGACGACGATTAGAACCGGCGTTCTCGCACAACTGCTTCCGCGACTCACCAGCTTGGAGAAAGGACTACAAACTTGCCGGAATGGCGACGTGGGAACTTCTTCCCAACCCTAGTTTGTGTAGGGTTCACACCTTAGAGGGTACAACCCAACTCTCTCGACATCCTTGTACCCCCTCCCTCTAACCTAATCAACATTCCTTCCTAGTATTCTATAGAGGTATTAAGAGCTAGGACGTTCCTAGCCTAGGACCGTAATTAGGGGCCCACCACATTCGTTTTCACCTGCCCGACCGTTAGTTTCCCGCGCTCGCTTGCGCCGCCGTGCCTTCCTTGCGTCGAGGGGCCCGGGTTGGCGGGGCACTGGCCCTAGTGAAGGCGGAGTTGCAGGAGAGACACACCTGCACTGACCTGGGTGAGCTGCGGAGCTATCTTGGCTTGCAGATCACCCGGGACAGAGCACGGCACACCATCACCCTGACTCAGTCACACATGGTGCAACAGGTCCTTCAGCGCTTCCGCTTCACGTACTCATCGCTACAGCACGTGTTACCTGGACAGCTGCTGTCCAGGTAACATAAGGTGGGCTCTGAGCGTTACATATCCAACGCCGTCGCAACTCCCGCCGTGACCTATGTCACCGTGGCGAACCACACACGTCTGCGCGCAACACTGAAGAACTGCATCGAGGGCAGCGTGTTTGCACCTGGCGCACTCCTGCATCCGGACGGCACCGAAGTAAGGGGGAACTCGCAGCCGCGCACTTGCACCGTCTCTCCCGAAGCCGCGCTGAGTCACCGGCCGTTTCCGCTGCTCGAACCTGGCACCAACATCTACCCCACACTACAGTCTATGCTGAATATGGATCACACAAAAGGTTTCAACAATTGTGTCGCTCCATGAATGTACACTGAGGCCCGTATGACAACGAAAGTCAAACAAACCTTGTTGGTGATACATTGTATAGTCTAAAAGCCACACGGTTGGTCTCATTTGCATCCGTTATCTCTATAGTTGGGCAAAACTTTCAAAATACACTAAACATTTCCACCCCAAAAGTTTGAATCTCACCCTAGGGTAAGTGAGTTGATCCAGGGTCCGTAGCAGAGTGTGAGCTATGTCGCACGTTCTACATTCTTCGTGTCATGATCAACGTGGTCACAATTGCATTATTATGGATAGCGCCTCGTACGACAATAGCACGTTCGTATAGGTAGTCGATTCACCAGACCTATAAATCATTGTGCTAATAATATTAAAAAGTCTATCTAGACGGCACCAAACCTATTGATGAATGACAGGGAGCGTCGGTCAAACGAACGGACAATATGTAGCGTGCGAATGATAGAATGTGCCTCTACAACTTGAAACTTCACCTCCCGTTGCGCCTCACGCAACAAAGTGCATGACGTCACACCGTCGACGTCACCAACGTCATAGTACCTCACGTACGCAAATGGTTTCTTCACGACTCGTCCGTCCTGCACAATGTTCACATGGAAGAGAAGCAGAAGCTGTGCATACCACGTCGTGAGAATGCGGGCACCCATATGTCCATCTTCGTCCCCAAGGATGGCCACGTAGGAGAAGCACGGCGCATCATGGTAGGTCAGAGCAGCACGGGCGTAATGAGCCTCGAAGTCATCGCCGGGGGGCAGGGCCAACGTCGTGTGGACCTGCCAGTCAGGAGATGTCGTGTGTTAAACCAACGGTTAATAGACATGGGGTTTAATGCGATTAGAATCCAACAAAATACACGCTTACCTCTACACTGTCACAATCTATGCCGATGTTCTGGAGCATACCCGGCAAGCTGCGCATTCCTGCCCCATGGTGCTGTACAAAGGAAATCCACAAAGCATTGCCCTCTATCCCCCTCTCTTGACATGGTAGAGTCATCGTCTGGCTGCGTGTGGTCAAGACTTGAGTTTTAAGAGTGATAGCCTGTACTCATGAAGAATGAAAAATATTAACATTGAGAAGATGCTACAGTGGACATTAACACACGGTTTTGGAACGAGGGAATGAACCTATGTGCTATCATCATATACATTTGTCCAACTGTTTGATACTTACTTTCAATAGAGCAGTCTCGTAGATGCTATGCTTCTCCAGCATCGTAGGGAGCAACGATAGCGCATTTCGCATGACGGTGCTCTGAAGGATGGCGGTGTCATATTGCCGATGGTTGCTTGCTCTGAATGGCCTCTTGCACGTGGCGGTGTGTGCGTGTTCAAACAGGCTTGTGCAATACTCTCGAGGAAGGCCTCCCTGACGGATGGCATCCGGGAAGTGGAGCAGCAGGTGCACCTTAACCAATTTCCAGCCATACCGCCCCGAGGGAGGTTGCTGTTGAGCAAGCGAATGAGCCTAAAAAAATACAAATGGAAAACAAGAAGTCAGAACATTCACCAATCATTGACGAAGTCAATATATTTAACACATCAGCAATACAGATTTCACAGCATAAAAACATGCGCATCTACTTCTTACTCTTGGGTATCCGTAATGTATTGCGTCACCATTGCCTCGGTGTATGACTTAGCCCGAAAGTACACGTCAAACCAGTTGACAAAGTACCGTAAGATGTACAGCGCTGCACTTCCAACCAGGTTTTCCATGATGAACACCACTACCTGCAGATAAAGAGGAACAGGATAAAGAGGGAGAATGCACCCAGGGTTTGCTTCACCGTTATTCAAACGCTTATGTTAATGAAAAAAATAAGAATTGATGCACGGTCATCGCTGTACCGAGACATGTACTACTTATCAACATGCCAGACGGGTTAAACTACTTACACGCAGCATGGCAGCATGATCGGCTGCTGAGAAGTTCGCACCGAGACTGAAGTACCTTCCAGGAGGTGGGAGTGGAATGCCTGCCGCTCTAGCTTCTTTGTAAAGGTCCCTGTGTCTCCTGTAACGTTTTAGAGCACTCAGAAAGTTTGAGCTGGGTGTCACATCAAGATATGGTGATAAACAGCCCAACAAGTCACCAACACTCACTCATTCATGGTCTTTATGTTCTTGTTACGAAATACAAGAGCCTCCAGAATGTACACCCAGATTCCAATGAGGATGACATGAAGTACATCCGGTGAGATGACCTTGTAGGGATTACCCCAGTTGGTTTTCGCGTCCTGTTGTCTTCCAAAGTGCCACAAGAAGCTCTGTAACGGGTCACATGGAGAACATACGTAACGGTACATAAGTACACAGCACAAACAATTGCAACATAGCTTCAACAGGTCATTAGGTACATGTTGGACAGCACTCTCTACACTAAGATTAAAGAAACAGCACGGTCGTTAAAATATGAAAAGGCATGTGACATATATTGCGCAGAGTTTACACTTACGTCCATCATGACAGTTGAGAACTTCTTTGCGAGTTTCGGGTCCTTCGCATATCTAGACTGCCTCTCGACATCCCGGTAGTCAATGATGTCCGGATCCATGTGATCCAGCTTCGTCTTCTCCACATAGCATATTGAGCAGGGTCTTGCGGAGTTGTGTTGCATAGTGCAGGTCACTTTACACGTCTCCGGATAATCTGCAACGTACTGGAAGAGCTTGGGCCACACAGTGAACACCTTGCCTTTGGGGTCCGTCAAGGGCAATGATCTGCAACACATGAACACATAAATCTTATAGACCTAACCACATACATACATGGTGACAACACAAAGGTGTAAAACGTACGTCTTGCATAGCCCACTGAGAGCTTTGGAAACAACATCGCAGGACTTCTGAAACAACTCCACCTTCTGCCATGCCTCCATTTCTGGATCAGGTTGTGGCAGAAGAGCGACGAGGGCGTGACCATGCTCCTTCCATCGTGTCTCAACGGGGAGATTTGCGAACGTCAAGTAAACCGGCCAAGCACGGCAGCGCTCATTCCCACTAAGTGTGGTCTCATCGCTCGAGAGAATGAGCGGACACACACACTCAGTCGGACCCTTCCCTTGCTGGGGTGGGAATACAATAACAAAAGTTAAACTGCACATTAGGTTATTGTTCATCACACACACTAAGCATCAACGCAATAAGACATCAAAGGACATATGTACCTGTGCACCCAGCCAAAAATTCCCCGTGTCTGCCCCTTCATACACATGACCCTCGTTGGTCGTTTTGACGTGTGGCTTGTGGATGAAACCTGGTGCATTCCGACTGTCCCCCCACATTCGTTCAAGGGCCTGCAACATGTCAAGGCAGTGGAGAATGATCAGTCTATCACAAAATGCTTTACAGTCAAGAACATAGAAAGCCTAATCAATAATACCTGCTTGATGTCGACGCTCTTGACGGTGAAGCTGGATGGCCACCCTCGAACCATGATCTGGTGCGACTGAAACTGAAGCTTGTCGATCCCAAGCATCTGCATGCCGTAAGCATCTACAGCAGCCTTTGTTGACCATCCTAGCAACTCCGATGGATCGAAGTCCGGATCTTTTACTAGACTAAAAAAATAACTAGTGTCGGGACCGCTTGCACCTGTCCCTTTGTTGCACGACTGCAAGAACCTAAATGTCTCTAAACGAGTGTTAAACTTTCTAGGCTCCTCCTCCTCCCCAAACTCGGCTTGGGCATCATGAAAATCTTCTACTTCGATGCAATCATCCTCAACTACAGGCTCTCCCTCTAACGGTGCGGACTGCGCCCCAAACACGAATGGTAACGGTGGTGGTAGGTGTACAGGCTGCAAAGGAGGGACTAGGATACCTCTACGGATCGGCGGAGTTTCAAACGCATTCCTCTCTTGTATTGCTAAACACTCTTGATTGCACCGCTGGTGATTCACTAGAGCTAGGTCGCACTGGTATTTTTTACCGCAATGACGACACACGTAAATATCTATCAGGAGGCTCTGGGATCTGCGAGAAGGACCCAAAAACATTTCTGTTAGTCAACACCTGATGAGATATTTGGCATACAACATTGATGAAAACCTGACAAGGCTGAGACTTACCAAAGCTACAAGCCGTAAATCGTCATAGATTTGAGCATGACGTCTATCCAAGTCTGCACGATTGGACCTCGTGGCAACAGAAGCCTGTAAAATACACCAAACAAAAGAGTCTCAATCCTGACAATCATTTAAGGACTTTGAAGGCTTCACAATGATTCACACAAGAATCAGCATTACATGGAAACGCAGAAGTCGGTCTCGGACCTGGCGCCAGAGGCTAAGGTCTGTCTGATGTAACGGCACATTTACACAAGTCAGGTACACTGGCCACTGGAAGCGTGGGGAAGAGCCAACAGAGACAGCGATGTCTCCCATCGACACAAACAAAAAAGGCCAAGGCCTCCGACTTGACTGTGGTATTGGTAGTGGGATGCTCCACACCACCCGTGATGCCTCCTCGGGCTCAACCAGCGGTGGGATGTCGTCATCGGGTTCATCACCTCCGGAAACCACCTCCAACTCCACTCTGCATGGTATCACAACGCAACGAATTGGAAAGTGATAGTTACACACATTAATAACACCAGTTTGGCATGAAAGCGCATAAGCCTTGAGTTGGATTAGCCCAGCACACAAATTGACGGTCAAGCGTCAGGCAAATCCTCACATGTGTGGGGCAGGGTCGACCATGTGGAGCGCGGGACGAGCCTGCCCGTCACTCGTCAGGATCCCTGTTTGGCAGCGTTGCTCAGAATGAGTATCTTGTTCTCTGCAAACATTGTGGCAATTGGAGGGTGATGTGGAATGGGGATGGCAAAAGTTTGAAGAAAGACAGGAGACGGAGAGGGTAACTAAACGAGAGAGGGTAACAGGATTAGAGACACGTGAGACCACCAAAGGTCGAAGGATGAGGGAGCTGCTAAGCACAGCAGCAGGCATAAAAATTGCTGAGGGTCGGGAATTGGAATGGGTAAAGAAGAGGGGGATTTGGCAAAGGTGGGGTGTTGGAATGGTAAAACGGAGGCGCCAGCCACGGGTGGACGGTCACCCGTGAGGAATATGGATCACGTGTGCATGCCCGAATGGATCACGCACCTTTGCCAGCTCGCGTTTAGACGGGTAAGGAATTGAACCTGCTTGGTTTGTCCTCAGTCCGTCACCACTCAGATCAGTCCTTGTCCACACCTGAGAGTCAAACGGAATATAGCATGGGGGCGGTACAAGGAGTGCAGGTGTGCAGGGCCCAACCTTGACGGCATGGGTGTAAAGGGAAAGGTTAGATGTGCCGGATGAGGAATGTGTGACGGCAATAAAGGATTACATACTAGGAGAAGATGGGAAGATTTAGGGGCTGGTTGATCATTTGGGATAAGGACTGGGAATGGGACAAGCTGGTGGGATGTGGTGGTACGGAGGCAGAGCCAAATATAGTATCTCGGGACGACTGCATGGTAGCAGAGGACAGGCCAGTGAGAGCATGGTGGGATGGGAATAGGAAGGGTAAGAATAATGAGCCCGATACCAGTGCGCTGTCCCCTCAGCAGATTAGATGCTACTAGTGCTCACCAGATGTGCAAGCTGCCTGTTTGGGTTGTCTCCAGTCCTTCACTACTCAGATCCGTCCCGGTCCGCAGCTGAGAGGCAAACGAAATAGCAGGGGGCGGTACAAGGAGTGCATGGTGTGCAGGACACAACCACGAAGCCAGGGGTGTGAAAGGTAGGGATAGATCTGTCTGGCCGGCAGGTAAGTAGGACAGCAAATAGTAAAACATAATAGCAGAGAAGAAGGTTGGGAGAAGGAGTGGGATGATAAAATGGGAGGGGGATTGGGAATGGGAAGAGCAAGCGAGAATGGAGTGGTACGGAAGCAGAGTAACGGATAAATAGCAGGAACGTACCCTATCCGAGTCGTGGTGTTGTGGGAAGTAGAGAGAGTTGATGAGGATGTGAATGACGAGGCGTACATCCACAAAGAGGTGGGAGGGGGATTGGTAAAAGGAAGAGCAGGAGGGAATGGAGTCGTGCGGATGCAGAGTACACGATAAAAAGCACCTGAGACGACTACAGCAGGCAGATAACAGAGCGGTAGTCGTCCGATACGGTGGCCCGTGCAACCCCGTGATCCCGTGTCCACATCCCGACCCCAATCCCGATCCCGATCCTGATCCCGATCCCGATCCAGATCCCGATCCCGATCCCGATCCCAATCCCGATCTTCGGGTGCAAACACACCGCCACCTCATGCACAGTACGTACATTATGCCGGCGGCGAAAGCGCCTCCGCCTTGCTGTGATCCGCTAGTGTCGCACACTGGCGTAGAAAGTACCCTCGAGTTGGCTTGATCCGCCGCATCGGCCAGTCGACGTCGCAGGGCAGAGCTCTCGAAACTTGGTTTGTGCCACGTGACGAGCGGAACAAGATCAGCTGGACAGGTCTGTAAATAGTTGTCTCACCAGTGGTATCTGGGGGGGGGAGGAAGGGATGCCGAAACGGTAGAGCAGGTAGGGGGTGGGCGGGAAAAGAATACGAAAGGCACGCCTGAGCATTAGTGGTCACAGCTGTGCGCACGGAAGCTGCACTGTTCATATACTGACCTACTGCTGCTGGAATCGGCGAATGTCGAAGCGGTTGTGACAGGATATTGCAGTTGTGCAAACGGTTAGCGGAATAAGAAGGCACGAGAAGGGCAGAAACTAAACATGCGTCGAAGGACCCATAAAAAACCATGAATATGCACAGGAGGAAAGGTAGAGCTGGGACAGAGAGTGACCTAAAGACCTATACAACAAGGAGGTTGGAGCGGTGGAATACGAGCGGAGTGGTGTTTTGACACCCTAAACGTCCGAGATCTGGGCGTGAAAGGGCTACGTCACCGTGAAACGAACGGGCGCAGGGGCGCCTGACGCGCTAAGATCCAGCGCATATCCGTGTTACCGCACTGAACGCCTTCTGTTGCAGCGCTGATCGCCGCCCATTACCGACGGAAATCCGGCCATCCTCGCCCAGATCAGCGCGGCAGTTGCCGCCCGGATCGCCTCCCGGTATCGCCCAGAAAGCCGGCCTGTTCCGCCCAGATCCGCGCTGCCTGTCGTTAGATCCCCCGTCTGTCTCCGTGCCGCACAGCACGATCTGGCTCAAATTCGCGTGAGGCAGGGTAGGCATTAGCAGTGAGCATGGGACTTAAACGTATGTTGAGAGAACGAGCTCGGCAGGAGCAGACAAAACTGTTTGCTGCCGCACGTCAGTAATCGGGATAGATTTGCACGTGGTGGGGCTAGAAAATCTAGCGAAACAAACACTAGGCGGATGCATCACGGACTGATCATGGTGAGTCGTCGACAACTCTGTGAGACGAACGGGGAAAGGGAACACACGTGGGGAACAAAAGTACACCGGCGTGAAATCGTGTGTGCAGATTGCTCGAGCCGCTAGTTTTTGTACCTGGTATTTACTTTCGACAAAAAAAAATTAGGGTGCGTCCGCATTCGTCGCTTGGACACTTTGTTGGCGATACACTATAGAGGTTACGGGATCACTGAGAAGCTCTAGAAAGAACGCCAATCAAACAATTCGATAACAGAGAAAACTAGTGAGCTAGGCATGCAAATGAGAGGAACCATGGGAGAGGAAGAGAAGGTTGGAGAAGATGTGGCATTGCCACTCACCACACTTCTGGCCATAACAGGACAACAGTCAAGTTCTTTCCACATGAGCCATAGTTAGCATAGAATTCCACTTGGCAGCATTCCATTTATTGATGCCACCCATCCCCCCCACTAGATCTAGTGCTGCATGTTGTCATTGTTCTCTACTGCTCCAAACCACTACAATGCTACAGTATTGCTGCCTCCAACACACCAAGGACATCCAACAATGGACAACAAGACCACCACAAATAACAAAAACAACACCCCATACAACAAGACCACAACTAGACCTAGTGGTGCATGTTGTCATTGTTCTCTAGAGCTCCAAACCACTGCTATGAAACAGTATTGCTCCCCTCCAACACACCAAGGACATCCAACAAAGGACAACAAGACCACCACAAAGAACAAAAACAACACCCCATAGAACAACATCACCACAACTAGACCTAGTGGTGCATGTTGTCATTGTTCTCTAGAGCTCCAAACCACTGCTATGAAACAGTATTGCTCCCCTCCAACACAACAAGGACATCCAACAAAGGACAACAAGACCACCACAAAGAACAAAAACAACACCCCATACAACAACAAGACCACAACTAGACCTAGTGGTGCATGTTGTCATTGTTCTCTAGAGCTCTAAACCACTGCTATGAAACAGTATTGCTCCCCTCCAACACACCAAGGACATCCAACAAAGGACAACAAGACCACCACAAAGAACAAAAACAACACCCCATACAACAACACCACCACAACTAGACCTAGTGGTGCATGTTGTCATTGTTATTTAGAGCTCCAAACCATTGCTATGAAACAGTATTGCTCCCCTCCAACACAACAAGGACATCCAACAAAGGACAACAAGACCACCACAAAGAACAAAAACAACACCCCATACAACAACAAGACCACAACTAGACCTAGTGGTGCATGTTGTCATTGTTCTCTAGAGCTCCAAACAACTGCTATGAAACAGTTTTGCTGGAGTCAAACACACCAAGGACCTCCAACAAAGGACAACAACACCACCACAAAGGACAACATCAACACCACATGGAACAACAACAAGAATGTATCATCATTATTGGTGAATTCAAGGACCAAGCACAATATCCCCACACAGTACATTCTGATTGGTTAATGTTGATATTGAGTCCACTCTAAAACCCATGTGTGTGCTAAACATGTAGAATGTGAAACACTAACCATCTATTCATGGTTACCATTGTAACTTTGCCTACCCCACACCATTGCCCTGTTTTACCTTTTTGCAGAATGTGACACGTTGTATAACGTAGTCTCACGCGCAGAAACTGAACATGCTATAACATGTGTATGGGATCCATGATCTAAAATACGTGTGCGACAATCGCCGAGACATCATTCGACAACTCTCATACGTTTCCCACCCTATCCTTGCACGGTACCCTGTATAGCTTTGTTCTGCGCAGCGACGAAGCCTCTCACGTTGTCCAAATGACACGGTACGTGGATTGTAGCCTTGTAAGATCATGTTTAAGGGAGCCATGCTCTCAAATACGTGTGCGACAATCACCGGGACGTCATGCGACAACACTTGTTCGCTCCCTGCCTGTCATTGCACGGTTCCCTGTATAGCTTTGTTCTTCGGAGCGACGAAGCCTCACACGTTGTCAGAATGGCTCGATACGAGGATGGTAGCCTTGTTAGATCACGTGCAAGGGATCCATGCTCTCAAATACGTGTGCGACGATCACCGGGACGTCATTCGACAACACTTGTTCGCTCCTTGCCTGTCCTTGCACTAAACCCTGTATAGCTTTGTATAGAGCGGGTTCCTACATGGGACCGTTCCTTCCCAAGGGCCCACCATAACGAAATTTTTTTTTAGCTGCCCGACGCGCATTGCGCCCCTGCCCTAAATTTTATTTTTTAGCGGCCCCCCCCCCTAGCGGCCCCTACGCGACCCCTACGCGGCCCCTACGCGGCCCCTACGCGGCCCCTACCCGGCCCCTACGTCGCCCCTGACGCGGCCCCTACGCGGCCTCTGACGCGGCCCCAACGCGGCCCCTGACGCGGCCCCTACGCAGCCCCTGACGCGGCCCCTTCCGCGGCCCCTAACGCGGCCCCTACGCGGCCCCTACGCTGCCCCTGAGGCGGCCCCTGACGCGGCCCCTGACGCGGCCCCTCCGCCGCCACTACCGCGGCCCCTACGCCGCCCCTGACGCCGCCCCTGACGCGGCCTCTGCTGCGGCCCCTGACGAGGCCCCTGACGCGGCCCCTGACGCGGCCCCTGCCGCGGCCCCTGACGAGGCCCCTGACGCGGCCCCTGACGCGGCCCCTACGCCGCCCCTGACGCGGCCCCTGACGCGGCCCCTGACGCGGCCCCTGACGCGGCCCCTGACGCGGCCCCTGCCGCGGCCCCTGCCGCGGCCCCTGACGCGGCCCCTGACGCGGCCCCTGCCGCGGCCCCTGCCGCGGCCCCTGACGCGGCCCCTGACGCGGCCCCTTCGCCGCCCCTGCCACGGCCCCTACGCCGCCCCTGACGCGGCCCTCTCCTGCACCTGACGCGGCCCTAGCGGCCGGCCGCTGCCGTCCCTGAGGCAGCAGCCGCC